GTTTCATATTTCGTAATTTCAGTACCATTTTGATAAATATATATCCCAGATTCATTTATTTTATAGCTTATATCACAATAATATATTGAACCATATGTCGTTAAAAAGCAAAACTTTTCAGATATTATTTTTAATTTTTCATTTTCCCACCAATCCGTTCTTGACATGGATTTAATATCTTTTAATTCATAAACTAATTCTGGGTTACTAACTAACCTAACTAACCCTGGTCTATTTTGTAATTTCTTATTATTATTAAATAGACCCCAACTTAATACCAATCCATTGGAAGTGATTGCAAATGAGGAACTATGACCGCAACAAATGGTTTGTATTTTATAATTATTATTAAATGTCAACAGAAATGGTTCACTGATTGTGTCATTAGTTGTCTCACAACCTAACTGTCCCTCACTATTACGGCCCCATCCGTACACTTGTCCATCGACTGTGAGGACCAGACTGTGATAATAACAACAACTGATTTGTTGGATATTTTTGTTGTCAAAGAATATTTTCTGTGACTTTAAATAAATGCCTTTCGGTGTCACACCTCTAGCCAACTGACCCATACTATTGTGACCCCAACTGTATATACAGTTTGAGTCACTCAAAGCCAACACAAAGTCACCGCCGATAAAGAAGTGTTGAATCCTTTTGTGACACAACTCTGGGATAATATGCGGCGAATCGATGGCTTTATTGTGTCCTAAAGCCAGACATCCATCAGAATTACCGCCCNGATAATATGCGGCGAATCGATGGCTTTATTGTGTCCTAAAGCCAGACATCCATCAGAATTACCGCCCAAACCGTACACTTTGTCCTCATTTGTGATGAATATTATGTTTGTATTTTGAGTCCAGGAAACGTGAAATAAAACAATAGTTTCTTTCAGAGTATCAGAAATTTTATTACAAAGTTCAAATTTATTTAAAATCGATGACATTTTAGCAAAACTAATCACTTGTTTTAATTTTGTGTTGACTTGCAAATGGCGACTAACAATTAAATATAATTGTTTGCCACGTATTTCTAACAAGTTTTTACTATTAATTTGTGATAGTATATATACTATCATATACATATATATATACTATATATACAGTAATATTTATCAAATGAATTATTTTATTATAATGTAATAAAAATATTTAACAATTGTGAAAAATAAATCTTATGTTTGTTATCTTCTATGATAAGCAAAATATTTAATTTAATTTCTCGATTGGGAAATATAAAAATTATAAGATAAATATAATATTAACTATATAAATATCATTTAAATAATATTAAATAAATGTTCAAATAGCTATTTATATTTAGCTGTTCGCGGTTATAATTATATTAACCTTAATTATTATGTGAAGTTAAAAATGTATGCATTTTATAATTATATTCAAAATAAATATACAGAATATTTTCATTAATATAATGCATGTATAGGTATGTAAAAGTAAACTATAACCCGATTTTGACCCAATTCTGTGGACATATGAAGTAAAAAGTGTAACACAATTAGCGATGGGATTAACCTTTAATTTTAAATGTCATACACAATTTTAAATTATAACATATTTAATTTTGTATTTATTATTTAAGTAGTTAGTCTACGTTTTTTTGCAATGAATTGAAAACTATATTTTATAAATATATTGATAATAATTTTTATTATTTATTTGTTAATGAAAAATTTATCATGTAGATTCAATTGTAATGTAACTACATATAAAATAATAATTAATAATACTGTTTCAAATTTCACGTAAATTGATTTAAATTTTTCAATTGTTTAAATAAATAGCTTTGATATATTGATTTTTAAAAAGTTTTAATTCAAAAAATTAATGTTATATATAACAATAAAATAGTCTAAAAACCAAACTATAGACAATATATAATTTTACAATTATTGTTCATAATATCTTAATAAAATATATTACAATATATTTTTAAAAAAGTTATGTTAAATAAAGTTTATAATATTTAATCTGAAAAACTTATATATAATACAGTAATAATATACAGTGTAGTATGCCCATCTATTGGTTAAAGTTAACATAGTATAAGAAATTAAGAATAGTTGAATACAGAAATACAGAAAATTAAATTATCACCCAGGTAATTGAAATATACGTTTGAATTTTTGCGAAGGAGATAGGGAATTGAATTCTACTTGAAGTATATATTCCATATATTGGGAATAAAATGAATTATCTTTTGATAGGAGTCTCTGATGTGTTGAATCAAATTCCGGATCTTTTATGGGAATATTCTTATCGATAGACCAATCGTTATATTTGGCCAACACTTCTCTACAGTTCGGCCTACGATGCCATTGAGGGTACGCCACCATTGATAGTAAAATAGTTTGTAAATTATATACTGGTTCATTTAAATCAGGATTTTTTAACGAATAAGTTTGGGATCTATATTTACAGAATTTATATAATTAGCATTTCCGGTATCAAAATAGGAGTTCATAATATATAATACTTGTCTGGATTAATTTTAGCAACATCGAAATTAAATATATTTTCCCCGATTACCGCCAGACTAAAGATATCGCTTTTATGATCATATGATTTACCACTGAGAACCTCCTGTGCGATATATCCCAGGGTTCCCACACCTGATGTGTGTTTATTAGTTGTCATCAAGTGAATACTTTTGTCGTGAACTGTAGCCAAACCAAAGTCACATAACTTAATAAATCTACCGTTTCGTCCGTTCCTATCAATCAATATATTGTCGGGTTTGAGGTCTCTGTGAATGATCTGTGGATTCGATTCATGCAAATACTGAACACATTCTAAGATCTCTCGGAATATTTCACACGAAATGAAATACTCGTAACAATTCATGGGTTCATCTGATTGTCGATCAAATTCTTGTGATTTATGTTGAAGAATATTCTTTAAACTCTCTGAACACAACTCCATTTGTATGTAATAGGAGTCCCCTTCAAGCCATGAGCCGTAATATTTGACACAATATTTTGAATCCACTTTTGCTAGGTTTTTAATTTCACTATATGTTCTTGATAAATCGTTTGAATTAAAATCTAAAATTGAATGAAATCAAATGAAAAACTTTAAATTTAAATTTAATAAAATTATTACCTTTAATTTTAATAATTTTTACAGCATAAAATAGTTTATCATGGTTATTTTGTATTTTATATACAGAACCAAAACCACCCGAACCAATGATTGATTTTTGGGTTAATAGTGTCCGATCAAAATCTTGTCTTAAATTTATCGTATTGTATCAGCATAAAATAGTTTATCATGGTTATTTTGTATTTTATATACAGAACCAAAACCACCCGAACCAATGATTGATTTTTGGGTTAATAGTGTCCGATCAAAATATTGTCTTAAATTTATCGTATTGTAAGTTAATTTGTGTTCATTAATATAGTAATCATTTATATTTTTGTATTTGGTTTCAATAATTTTGTTTGTATTGAGTAATCGTATTATGTTTTCTCCATTTGAGAGTATAATTGAATCTAAATTATTAAACTTATAGATGTCTTGAAATATATGTTTTGTTTCATATTTCGTAATTTCAGTACCATTTTGATAAATATATATCCCAGATTCATTTATTTTATAGCTTATATCACAATAATATATTGAACCATATGTCGTTAAAAAGCAAAACTTTTCAGATATTATTTTTAATTTTTCATTTTCCCACCAATCCGTTCTTGACATGGATTTAATATCTTTTAATTCATAAACTAATTCTGGTTTACTAACTAACCCTGGTCTATTTTGTAATTTGTTATTATTATTAAATAGACCCCAACTTAATACCAATCCATTGGAAGTGATGGCAAATGAGGAACTATGACCGCAACAAATGGTTTGTATTTTATAATTATTAATAAATGTCAACAGAAATGGTTCACTGATTGTGTCATTAGTTGTCTCACAACCTAACTGTCCCTCACTATTACGGCCCCATCCGTACACATGTCCATCGACTGTGAGGACCAGACAATGATAATAACAACAACTGATTTGTTGGATATTTTTGTTGTCAAAGAATATTTTCTGTGACTTTAAATAAATGCCTTTCGGTGTCACACCTCTAGCCAACTGACCCATACTATTGTGACCCCAACTGAATATACAGTTTGAGTCACTCATAGCCAACACAAAGTCACCGCCGATAAAGAAGTGTTGAATCCTTTTGTGACACAACTCTGGGATAATATGCGGCGAATCGATGGCTTTATTGTGTCCTAAAGCCAGACATCCATCAGAATTACCGCCCAAACCGTACACTTTGTCCTCATTTGTGATGAATATTATGTTTGTATTTTGAGTCCAGGAAACGTGAAATAATACAATAGTTTCTTTCAGAGTATCAGAAATTTTATTACAAAGTTCAAATTTATTTAAAATCGATGACATTTTAGCAAAACTGATCACTTGTTTTAATTTTGTGTTGACTTGCAAATGGCGACTAACAATAAAATATAATTGTTTGCCACGTATTTCTAACAAGTTTTTACTATTAATTTGTGATAGTATATATACTATCATATACATATATATATACTATATATATAGTAATATTTATCAAATGAATTATTTTATTATAATGTAATAAAAATATTTAACAATTGTGATAAATAAATCTTATGTTTGTTATCTTCTATGATAAACAAAATATTTAATTTAATTTAATTTCTCGATTGGGAAATATAAAAATTATAAGATAAATATAATATTAACTATATAAATATCATTTAAATAATATTAAATAAATGTTCAAATAGCTATTTATATTTAGCTGTTCGCGGNCACAAGAATTTGGTCGACAATTAAGAGAACCCCTAAATTGTTACGAGTATTTCATTTCGTGTGAAATATTCCGAGAGATCTTAGAATGTGTTCAGTATTTGCATGAATTGAATCCACAGATCATTCACAGAGACCTCAAACCCGACAATATATTGATTGATAGGAACGGACGGAATGGAAGATTTGTTAAGTTATGTGACTTTGGTTTGGCAACACTTCACGACAAAAGTAAACATACGTCAGATGTGGGAACAATTGGTTTTATTGCACCAGAAGTGGAAAAGGGACTAAAATATAACAATAAGTGCGACGTCTATAGCCTGGCTATAATCGGGGAACAAATATTTGAATTTGATTTTTCTAACATCGACCCTGACAAGTATAGTACTTAACATATAATACATAATTTTTATAAATGAATATTTATTAATTTCTTTCATTTAATAGTTTACAACCGTATTCGTCAAATAACACTGTTATGAATGAGCATGTACCAGTTTTGCAAAAATTATTACTTTTAATGCAAACCACACCTCAATTTCCTAAACGCCCGGAATGTAGTGAAGTGTTATCCAAATATAACGAGTGGTCTATCGATAAGAATATTCTCATAAAAGATCCTGAATTTGATTCAACACATGAGAGACTCTTATCAAAAGACAATTCATTTTATTCACAATATATGATAAATATTTTTAAGACTAAATTAAATTCACTATCGTTTTCACAACAAATGCAACGAATTTTTCAATTACCTGGATGATAGTATAGTTTTCTGTATTTCTATATTGTATCAATCTTTATATAAATGAAAATATAACGAATGAATCCGCAGAAATTAAGCTTATCTTATAATGCTTTTAATATTTTGTTGCTTACGGCTAAATATTAAAATCTTCACTGTATAAAGTCTATGAGTTTAAGTTAAAAAGATTATAATATTTAGCCGTAAGCAACAAAATATTAAAAGCATTATAAGATAAGCTTAATTTCTGCGGATTCATTCGTTATATTTTCATTCATATTTTACTGTATACCATGTTAACTTTAACCTATAGATGGCAATACTGCAACTTTATTTTACTACTGTAAGTTCTTAAGATTTATATCATAAATTTTATTTTGTTAATTTATTTCATTAGTCTGAATAATAATTGTAAAAATATATAATATTTATAATTAGTTATTTAGTTTTTTAAAATTTTTATTGTATAAATTAAGTTTTAAAACAATTATAAATTTTGTGAATTAAAAACTTTTATATAAAAAGTATTTCACAGTGTATTTATACAGTTAATTTCAAATAAATTTACGTTTAATTTAGAATATCGTAAATAATTTTGTTTTATAATACTGGATGTATTATATAAATTGTCACAATACATAAACAAACATAATATAACTTATTATCAATATAATAATAGTCTTCAATTCATTGCAAAAAGTAGAATAATGTCCACTTAAATAATAAATACAAATTTAAATGTTTATATATAAAATTGTGTTCAACATTTAAAATTAAAGGTTAATCCCATTGCTAATTGTGTTACACTTTTTATTTCATGTGTCCACAGAATTGGGTCAGTATCGGGTTTTAGTTTGCTTTTTACATACCTATACATCAGACAAGAGCAAATGTTATTGATTGACAGTACCTGGTTCAAATGACTTAAAAAATAATTCACAGAAATCATTACTTTTATTACTTATTTTTCACATTTTCTAATTAATTTTATTATATATACACAGAATATTCTGTATTGTATTACTGACACAGATATGCTTTTAATGCAATTATAAACCTATTTATAAAAATAGATATTTTTGTGGATAAAAGAAAAATATTATTTTTTATTACATAAAAAATAAATGTCTAAACACTGCTTGAATACAATACTTGTATTGCAAAGAAATATTAGTACATATTTGAAATGCATTAATATTTTTTATATTTTTAAGATATCTATACAAACATATTTAAAAATATAATTATAAAATAAAATTCATTTTCAGAGAGAGAGAGAGAGAGAGAGAGAGACTAATGCCTTATAAAAACCTGAAGAATATTCTGTAATCACTTGACAATGAAATAAACACTTAGCGTAATACATAATAAACCATTTAACGCATGTAGCATACTAGTGCAATAAAAGCACCGGTACTCCACAATAAAAGCATAAAATTATACTCAAAAACAACACCATAACAATTATCAAGCAACAATTTTCTAAAACAATTAAATAATTAACCTCAATATTACCTATATTACCTAAATATTACCTCCATTTCCCTTTATTAAATATATAAATAACTACACGATTATGACTATAATTCGCGTATAACTACCTAACATACAATAGCGCTAATCCCAGAAAATTTTCTACTACCTTTCCTCATATATGTATAACTAATTAGTGTCGGACACAATGTCGGACATTTCACTAAACGTAAATTTTATCAATTTAAATTTCTGATCAATATTTGTGATAAAAATATGTTCATATTATTAAATTATGTGAAAACTGTTCTTTGTAATTATAATATATAATTAATTATATTGTACTCATGTATACATATGAAATTGTGTTAATCAAAGCGTTTTGATAATAAAAATTATATTATTTATATATATAGCCATAACCAGTGCTATATCGGTAGCTCGTATCTCAGGGCACCGTTATCTCTCACTCGCAACTCAAAAGTTAATTCAGCGAAAATACGTACATTAAAACAATTAAATAATTAACCCAATATTGCCTAGATCTATATCCCATTATTAAATATATAAATAATTACACCATCAAGTAAGCTGGTCACGTGGCTATTAATTTGTTATCATTCATTTTTACACTTATTTTATTTTATTTAATGAAAAGTTCTAAAAAATTAACTATTGAATCGCGTTTTTCTATTTAAAAAATAAAACATTTAAAGTTGCCATGAATAAATTGTTTTTAAATTTATAATTTAATTTTGTGTTTAGATTCAATTAGTTTATATAATTATAGATTATTAATTTCTGAATTTAGTTTTGATCTATTTAA